AAAATCAAACGCGGCCCAAATGTGAACTTCGATGGGCAGAAACATGCTGCTCTTGGCAGTTTGTAATCAAACTGTCACCCAACATGACCCCACACTGGCCCGCTCTGCATATTTGGACTACTTTTGGCTGACACATGGCAACATTTTGGCCAAGCTGTGGCCAAGTACTGGCAAGGAGAGGAAGACTGCCCTGGTGCAATCATTCCAGGCAGAATGTGGGCCAAATCAAAGTGTCACGTGTGCCAGATCTAGGCCACAGATATTTTTACTACGAATCAGTGTTGCATTTAAAAAAAACCAAACAGTTTCTCTCTTTAATGGCATAATAACGCCAGCCGACCGTCAGCATGGAGTCAGTGAATAGTTAAAAACAGGGAACTGTGGTTTCCTCTTCCACCCACTGACGCAGTTTTACTCTGACCTGAGTGCAAAAAAATATAGGATGAGGGTCATGAGAAAAACCACCGCCCACTGACGCAGTTTTACTCTGACCTGGTCAAAGTCCACTTTCACATATCAATAATTCCATCATTTAGATGAATCACAACATTAAATGATTAATCATTCCCTGTTATTAGTTATATAAAAAATCTAATTGTTTGACAGCGCTGGCCTCCGTACTGTGATTGGTCGACTGACTGACAGGAAATGGAATTACTGTCCAGTATTTTCTACAACTCTACTTCAAAGAACCAAACACCGTGATTAAAGAGAAGTTTTGAAGAGCGGCGCAGTCACCTGGATGTGCACCAGCGCCTCCCTCTCCGTCATCTGCTGTTCTCTGAGCTCCCACTCCTTCTCCCGCCTCCTCTTCTCCTCAGCGTGAGCTGCCTGTTGCCTCTGAAGTGACGCCAACTCCTGCCGCTGCTTCTCGAGGCTCCGCTGCTTCTCCTGTTCGATCAGGGAGCTCGGCCGCGAGGACTGCCGCGACGGCGGCGTGCTGGAGGAGGAGGAGCGCTCGCACAGAGCCTGACGCTGCTCCTCGATGAAACTGTCCTGCTGCACCACCACCGCCTGCAGTTGACAGGAACACGCCGTTAGGTCGGACACCGTGAGGTGACGGGTTTACTTTCACGTAATAAATGCATGGTCCTAAAACAGGTGGAAGAGTCTGACCTGCAGGGTGCTGAGCAGGACGTGCAGGTTGGTGACACTGTGCAGGACCTGCTGTAGGAGGAGGAAACAGGAACATTTCAGTTTCTGTTGTCAAACAGAAAAAAAAGGAAACATGTTCAGCTGAGAGAGAACTAAACATCCGTTCTCACCGGCTCTGTCACCTAATTTGATTTAACTTGTTAAAAACGCGCCACTGTGGCAACAGGGTTAGTGTCCAACACTGACTCTTCTGTGTGAGACGTGATAACTGTGGACTGGGACTAATGTGAATTCACCAATGCCAGACTAATCCATCATTAAACCAAGTTCAGCCAACGCAGCGAGTGACCTTTTCTCCACCAAAACACAGACAGGACGAGGCCACTGCTGACAGCGTTTACCAAAACACCAGATGTTACAGTTTTCACTGTTGTGGACAGAAACTTCCCCGACACCGAGACAGAAAAAGATACTGACTGATGCTGCAACAGAAGAATAATAACACAGTTTTACACCGTTTATCTTTAAACTTAAAAAAGTCACTTCTATTGTTGCTTGAGTAAAAAAAAAAAAAACATCCACGCTGAACTTCCTTAGGTAATAATAGACTCATCCACTGCTATTATGTCTGTTTTGGCAAATACAATTAGTGATGCTGCTAATGATGACACTGACACACAGGTCTGACAGTTTCCATGTAAACAACCCATTATGAGAACAGAAGAGAAGTCCATGTTACCTCGCTGTTCCTCTTCAGCAGCTGGAGCAGGTTCGCATTTCCTCCCTGTGCATGAACACAAACACAGCACTGATAAAGCACACAAACACACACACATAAACACACACACGGACTTAAAGTCAACGTATGTGTGCACGCATACTTATATTACATACAGGATGAACAGTAACGTGATTATGACCGCACACGTGGGCAGACATCTGATCTGATCCATTCAAACGCCTTCATTCTCTGGGTTTATATCCAGCAGTGTGAATTAAGTTTATATGTATGTTTCAAAAACTCAGCTTTAAACTGTCGATTAGAAAATAATCCTGATTCCAAACTGGAATTAAAAAGCTGCCGTTTGGGGTTCGGACACAGCCGATATGATTCAGGAGAACGTCTGTGTCTGAACGCTGACCTTCTTTAAAACACCATCAGACTCCGTCCTTCGCAGATCTCCCGTCGTATCCTCGCCCTCGTCTCTGTCGCCACCTGAAATAAAAAAGCAGACAGCAGGAGTTAGAAGACACAGGACTCACACTGAGACAAACACAAATGTAATATAAAAAAAAAACATTATTTCACATCATGAAACCATATTCAGGAAAGAAGTAAACATGTACTGCGGTACACAGAAGTCAGAGAAAGCACATGTGATTAAACGGCAGCTCGTTTTACTCCGTACAATCTTTGATATAAAATGATAATCGGTGAGGAGCGAACGCAGACGTACGACCAACAAAACAAACTGATCGTTGAGTCTGGTCGATTGAAATGAGCTGAGGGTGAATAGAACTAGTTTATTTGATGTGAAATACATCTGTTCTTCTTCTTCTTCTTTTTCACAATTGGAAGATTTAACAAGAGGCTTTATGAATTATTGATGAGGAGCGGGATCTGCAGGTCAAAAGCATGCAATAGGATAAAAAAAAGAAAAAAAAATCAATCTAGAAAACTCCATTGAAATGTCAAATTAATTTCTAATGTGAAGTGTCACGGTGCACATGGTGTGCACCAGAGATATAACAGAGGCTGACAACTCGTATCATTCAGACTTCTGATACGACGTGACTCTTTCGTATTCAGGCAGAGTTTCTCTTTGGAGCTGAAAAGTAATTTAAAAGAAAATGAACCCATTTATGGAAAATGTCTTGATATTCTACATCATTTGAAGAGCAGAAATCACATCAGGCTGGCAGATAAGCCGGGCTGCACGTGGAGAAAGTCGGCCAGCGTTTGTCTGAACTGAGCCCACAGGATGTGATCAAACCCATGTTTCCACCATTAAGCAGCTGAAGCCGTTAACGTCGTTTTTATTTGGGATTTTATGTCCAAAAAAGAAAAACTTTCGTCGTGGTTATCGTACAGTCTGCTCTGTTCAGTTATTCATTGAAAAAACATTGTTTTTTTAGAGAAACATTATGGTCCGTGTCCTGTGGACAAAACTGTAGGTTATTCTCAGCCCTGCTGAAAAAAATCTTTATTTAATGCAATAATGATCCAAATGAATAATTCAATTGGTAACATCATCTTAATTAATTATCACCAATCTTACTTTACGCTTGGGAGCCATAATGAAGGGCAAAAAGTTCCCAAAAAAACAATGACGACAGAAAGCGATCAAAGATGTCGTATAAATATATATCTCTGCTTCAAACGACAGCTTGTTAAGGTGCGTAATTTGTTTTAATGCCGTTTGTTAAAATGAACATAAACTACGGATGCAGTGCATTAGCATTAATAACCAAAGGAAATATGAATGAACTCTGTACTGCCCCTAGTGGATGTGTTAGTGGTAAGAGGAGTGTCTGTATAAGTACGACGGCAGTAAAGGTGATTCTTCTTCTTCTTCTTCTTCTTCTAACAACCTGAGGCACACGGGAGCACATGTGGGCGGTGGCGTTTGAAGCTGTACCGATTTAAACACATAGAGGGAGCTAAAAGGAGGCTTCACACTGTCTGTAGTGTATTTTTCCTTTGACTCTTGTTGGTGGAGTCACAGAGAGGCTTACACAAAGCGGTTCGACTGATGGACAAGTGCAGACCAGAGCCACTCGCTCAGCAGTATTTTGGAGAGTGTCACCAGTGTAGAGGTATCGCCCCGGGCTGCTTCTCTCTTTGAAAAACTTTAGTTCTAACATCCAAGGCTCTTCTAAAAAAGGTTTTATCTAACTGCGCTGGAGAGAGGTTGCTGTGGGAAGCAATTTCTAAAGATTAGTTCAAGAGGGGAAAACTGAAATAAATTACTGGCGGAGCTTCCAGCAGTGTTGAGCGCGGGGCACATTTACAGTCCAGTTACTGAACTGCAGCAGCTTTGTGGAGCAGCGGGTGAGGAAGGGTGAGGGGGTCGGACTGTTACATGCAGTTCCTCCACAAATACACACATCCACAGGCGTCCAGCAGCTGTGGACGCGGCAGACTTACTCTTACTGCCGTGCATCTGGTGACTGTCAAAACCTCCGAACGTCTCAGCCCGACGAGGCAAACACACCGGCCCCACGCCGCCGCCGCCACCACCTCCTCCTCCAACACCGCCTCCTCCTTCCTGGGCACTGGCCATCGCTCCACCCAGACTGCCATTTACCAGGGCCTGCAACTTCTCCACTGTCACACACAAACATGCAGACACACACAGAGAAACACACACAATAACCGGGACATCGACGTGCAGGTCAGTAAGTGAATTATCCTGGCTAACTGTGTTACAGTTCAGCCCTGTGCTCATGAAACCCACCAGACACTCGACCTGGAACAGGCTCCAGTTGCTAAGCAACAATTGACAATCTGTTTGAACCACAGAGCTCTTTCAGTGAAAGTTTAAAAATCTGCACTTTACAAGATAATATTGAATTTGGAAACACATTTGTGTTTGCAGGGAGATGGAGTGTGCAGGACTCTGACCCTCCGAGTGAACAAAATATAGGCAAAAAGTGTTGATGGATGAAAACGCCGGGTAAAACACAATAACCAGGAGAAGAAACGGCATTACCTCGGCAATTTCACATATCAAATAATTACTGCCCGAGGCCTACAGGCAGCCGGAGAAAAATACATTCTGAATTACTGTAACTAAATCCACTGAAAAGTTTTACACAACTCCTCCATAAATCTTTCCTGCATTGGGAACAAATGCAGACAGTTCTTGTTTAAGTGGCCGTCTAATAAACCTAGAACCTGAAAGGATCACTTCGCAGTGACAAGTTCATGACTCTTTCAGTGTAAAAGCAACAACACAGTATTTTCTATGTTGTGTTTACACTGGAACAACTCAGCTTCAGGTTCCCGACCTATGCAAAAGAAAATATTTTGTGATCACAAACTCACTCTGCAAATTAATTCTGACACTAAATCATCTGCAAACATTCTACGACGAGGAGAAAAAAAAAATAACCCAAAACTCAATCTTCTGAATAAAAATCTTATTTTTGCCTTCATCACTTTTTCACATAACGAAGAAGTCGAGCTTCTCTGAAAAGACGTGAAATTGGTTTTTATGACGGGACAAGATAAAATGTTTTGAGTTTACTTTCTGATGCACTCGGGCTGAAAATACAACTGGTGTGTCAAGATGTTGTGAATAACTTCACTTTTCAGAGCCACTTATGGCTGATTTCATATGCAGGGGATGCAGCCTTCTTCTTCTCCTCAATTCATTCTCTCTTTGTCACCACAGAATCCATTTCTCTGCGTTTACCTCTCAGCTCACGCCGCCTTTCTCTCATACACATTTGATGAACAGGGCTGCGGAATCACCGAACAGAGCGGTAATAAAATCCTCAAACACACTTTGGCTCGCCTAATGTTTGCTATATACTCCTTTTAAATCATCCCCAAACACCAGCAGCATCTCAAACTTCTGCTCTTTTTTTTACCAGCTGCTCAGATCCAGCAGTCTATAAATTATTTTTCTGCCAATTATCTCAGAGAAATCAGTTTGACAACAGGAAACGGAGCTGCAAACACATTGGTTTACCTCGCAGGATAGAATTTTTTTTCTTTTTTCTTAAAACTGTTTCAATAGTAAGATTACATTTTTCACCTAGTTCACTGACGAGATAAATTATGTAGGTGTGAAATGCAAAAAATCCCAGAGTCTTAATGGAATTTTAAGGCAGGAATTTTCAAATTTATTTCACAGTTTGTAACATTTGTCTTCCAGGAGTTTTCCTTGTGCTTAAAACAGGGAAAACCTGGGTTGAGACAGAATTCCTTTTTTTTTTTTGTTTATTTTGTCTTGCTGCAAACACTGCTCAATGTCCCAATGTATCTCCAGCACACACACACACACACACGCTGTGACAAACACTCCCTGCCTTTGTCTTACCTTCCTGCAGGGCGTTCTTCATGATGGAGGCCCCCTTGGCTGGCTCCAGGCTACAGGCTGATCTGAAGAAGGGCTCCCCTGACAGGCAGGGCCCTTGCCTTAGCAGATCTGACCGACCGACAGAGAAATAAAAGGATGAGGTCGAGATAAACACGTGATTCTAAAAGCAAATTGATCCCAGTTTGAAGTTTTCATGTCACCTCTCATCTCCTTGGCTTTAGATTCCAGTTGTCTCTTGTCATCTTCAGTTTCACTGGGAATCCCTTCATCCTCATCCTTCTCTCTATTCAACAAAACGAGACTAAAAATATAATTTGTGCCACAGTTGAAGGCTTCAAAAAAATCTACAAACATACGTAAGAAAATCATATCATCATGTTAATTTTGACAAAAACTGATGATGAGTCTGAGGGGCTAAATGATGACATCGTTCATCAGAGAACCAATCAGAGCCATGTTCATTGGCTAGAATTAGGGACATCTAAAAAAAGTTAACTATTTGAGTCAACTCCATTTACATGTGCTTCCTTTTAGACTTCTGGACTTGGATACAGTATACAATTATTATTATTATTATTATATACTCATGATAATAATATTGTTCAGAATCCTATAAGAATGTAACAAAAGCTGAAATGAAAAAGTAGTTGTCTTTTGGTCGATAAATCGATTTTTTATTTAGTCGAGTAAAATAATCTTGATATTTCGTTAGCCACAACTTTGCTACAATTTTAACTGTTCAATTGTCTAATTCTGGACAAAGTCAGTACAGTCACCAAACAAAGACAAAGACTAAACCAAAATTGTCTGTCAAAACATGATGATATCTTTCTCTAATGCAAATTTAAATTGTTTGTTTTTCTATATTGATTCTTGCATTAACATAATTTGAAAAGTTTTTTTTTCTTCTAGATGTTCAGCCAACAGCACCGTTACAAGACAGGAGGAACCAAACTGAGTACTACAATACAGTCCTACATCTCTTTCTATCCCGCCGGCTGTAGTGGAATAATCTGCTGCTTACAGTGGGATGCCCTTGGAGCCAACGCAGCATTAGACTGTCTCAGAGTACATCCCATCCCCAGGTAGAGCAGTGCTAATCCCCCTGACAGCACAGAGCTCTGCCGCAGATTATGGGATATTACTATCTGGAGACTTTGGCTCTGGCTAATTCCTGGGCTACAACATGAGTGTACCGTTGGTGGAGTTCAGGAGGTCAAACAAGAGTTTACTATAATAAAGTAAAAATACAAACACCTTCAAATATAACATGTGTAAATCAAAACAAAAAACAAAAAAAAAACCTCTAAATCACTACCAACTACTCACATGGACTGCATGGCGTTCTGGATGAGCTGCATCCAGGTGTTGCGCTCGTCCTTGGAGCTGGCCAGGACCTCGATCATCTCCGGCTTCTCGATGCCCGCCGTGATGAGGAAGAGGCCGCGCTCTTCGTTGGCGACCTCCCTGATGATCAACTTCTGGAGGGAGATGACGGTGGAACGCTGATCCTACGGAGACGGGGGAGGGGTTAATGGAGACCAGGGAGGAGATGGACAAGGAAGAGGGAAGATGACAGTGGGAGGGTGAGGGAGGAGTGGCAGAGTGAAAAGGGCATGAGCAGGACAGGCATTGTAGAGGCAGGGGGTTGAGTGAGGAAGGGGGGGGGGGCAAATACGACAGGAGAGAGGCAGGAGAGGAAAAAAGGTAGAATAAAAATGTTGGATGGACAGAAAGAAACAAGAGTTCAATAAAAAAAAAAAGGATAAAATGAATACAAGAGCAGATTGTGCTTGGTCTGCAGCCTTCAGCTGACCTACAGGATATCAGTAATCGCAACATCCTCAAGTGCAGCCTGATCCCAAACCACTGTTTAATTTTTGAGCAGTGAGACTCTGAAAATGAAAACCACAACCCTGTGTTTTTCCCGTCAGTGGTTTGAAGAAAGAAATCTCAGCAGGATTTTTTAAAATCCAAGTTGAATAAATCTCAGTGATATACAATCCTGAACTCAGTGATACTTGATGGACTACTGTACACCTTTGAGGAAAAAAGGACCAAAGAATCCATCTTATAATTAATTCTAAAAAAATAAATTCTAAAAAATAAAAGGGTTCAAGTTATGACAACAAGCTGCAACAGGCGCCGTGATGTGTTTGTTCAATAATTACAGGAGAGCGAGAGGAAAGAGAGGGAGGGAGAGAGAGAGAGAGAGTGGAACAAATGATTCGTCACAGTTGGACGGCCAGATCAGCTTTATTGTGCTGCATCTTAAATGCTGGATGTAGATTTAGGGCAACGGCAGGAACGCTAAGAGAGGAACCTAATTTTTGAACATCAACATCAGCGGGGTAGGAAAATGTTACGACAAAATCTCTGGCAGCGCTCACGTGGCAGGAAAGAGAAAATGAGACAAGGAGGTCAAGGAGGAGAGAGAGTGTGCTGAGTGTCACGAGGAGGTGAAAAGACAGAGAGTGACGGAGTGAGAGACAGAGAGTGGTAGGTGATGGGGGGGGTTCTTACCAACATGGCAAAGACATATTTCTGGTCTTTCTCTTGAAGGAAGACAAAGATATCCGAAAGGAGCAGAGCATGGACATCTGGACAGAAGAGAAGAACCTCAGTGACACCGTACAGAATATATATGGTCCATATATCTGTTTAGTTTCAGAGGATGTTAATCAGTTATGATATTTAACTGCAGGTTATTATTAGGATAATCCCAGTAATTTTCATATTTAACTCACGAATAAATTGCATATTTTTAATCTTTCTAAATTATATTAATATTATATTAATTAAGTTTATAGTTTATAATTAAGTTTATAGTTTATTCTTATAAACTATACCAAGATATATAAGAACATATAAACCAAACAAGTTTATCTATTGGATGTCAACCATACGGCTAATTAAAAAAATAAATACATTTAAAAAATGTCAGTCGTTACCAAGACTAGGACAGACTAGGATGGTTGTTGCTTTTTGATTGAGTCCAACCAATGAACAGAAAAAATAAAACAAATCAGTTTTAATTTAACACCGTAATAAATATTTGAAAAAAAAAAAAAAGGGGATTCAAATTAATCTGTCCTAAAGCTGTGTCCCTTCACTTTAATAGTGTGATTATGTGACTGAATAGTGATCAGTGATGCATTGTGGTCTATAAAATATCTTGCACCATTCGTTAGGACAGCAACATGGAGTGTGTGTAAAAAAAAAATAAAGCTGTCAAGTGTGTAATCAAAAAGCATCTTTTTTGGGACTGAGTTACTCATCACATTGACCCACTGTGGTGAAAAGTCTGTTCACATCCACAGTAAATGTCAAGAGTGCCATCTGGGAGTGAGAATGTCATTTAAAGACTATTTCCTACTTCAGAGTTAGCGTCTGCCATCGACTCTTTACTGTCGCGCCAATTACACAATTCACGTTAACTTCAACCTAACTAAAAAATAACCGCGTCAGTCTCGGGGTGAAATCACAAGCGTTCCGACTCACCCTTCAATCTGCCCTGGGTGTTCTTCAGCTGAAGCGTTCCGTCGTGGATCAGCCTCCTCCTCAGCAGATCCTCCCTGGCAAAAATCTGACCGTTCTTCATCATCATGATGGACTTGCTGTCCATTCGGCTGTGGAAGTCTTTCAGCCGCTGTCGCTTCTCGTGCTCGTTCACCTTGGAATCCACCGCCGCTATAACCTCCTTCACCAGCCTGATGGCCTCCGTCAGGTCGTCGTAGTCTTCTTCACTCTCTGTCATCAGGTGAGGAAGCAGAGTGGAAGGAACTTAAGTCTCACTTTGGTACCGAACCAGAAACTAAGATGTATCAGTCTTTGCTTTTAAAAAAAGGATTTTTTTAACATGATTTAAAGGAGGAGGAAGTGGAGGTAAAATCAGAATAGAAGCAGATTGGGGAAGTGGCACTCAGTTTATGCAGAACAGAAGGTTCACAATTGACACTCATTTTGACTTGTACGCAACCAGAACCGAAAGCTTTGTTTTTATGCTTTTGTTCAGACATTTATTGTGCGTTTGAGTAGTTACCTTCTCACAGACGACAATAAAACTCTAAAAAAAACAAAAAAAAAAAACACGTGGCGCGGTGGGACTGAGATTGAGTCATCTCTCAGATGCACTCGAGGTCACCACATTAGCAACGTTTGTTTGCCCTCCATCATTGCTGCCTCTTGAGGAGGGAAGCAGACGTTCCTCTTAAGCCGGATTACTGTGTCTGAGAAACATTCACTTCCCTCTTCATCCGTCTCACGCGGCGTTCCAACTCATTTGTATGCAGCGGTATCTCCACTGTCACCGACAGAACTGTTTATTCAATTCTACTAATTACAATATTATCTGAAAGATATCTTCTTCCCACAAGTCTTTAAAAAATACTTTCTGTCATTCTGAAAAAGGTCCATTCAACAAAGCTGAACAATGAACACTGATGAATGCTCACGACCAAATGTTTCTGCAGCTTTAGGATTTTTTTTTTTTGCTCCGCTGTTCATCACAGGGTGAATGTATTGAACGACATTATATTCAGGGAGGTAGATGTCAAAACCGTTGATGAGAGAAGAGAATAATTTCAGTTATTACACCATCTTCTGACCTCGACGACGACCCGTTCGGACATCAGCCGAGTACGTATCTGATTGCTTTAAATTCTCTTCTTAATGTGCCGACACAATTTATCACAAAGAGCATTAGCGGAGGTCACGTCAGGACACGTGTGGACACTCTTTACAGCACGATCTGTCCTTAAGATGCACGAGAGACCGTCTCCTTGGCTGACTTCCTCTGGTGTTTGGCTGCAAAATGAACCTTTATATTTAGAGCCTATTCACACCTGTCTTAACATTCTTTCATTTTCACTTTACTGTATACACTCTGAGTGTCAGGCTCTATAACGTCAGTGTGGTGGAGTTACTACAATTTTCTTCATCTCTCTGACAAAAGAAACTTTACCCAACATCCTCTGTGCTAACCTGTTGTGTGCTGTAACATTCTCTGCACCAACACGGGGTACTTTGTTATCCTCTGCGTCACCAGCAAAATGCATTCTGGGATACCTAACCTCCGCACGATGCTGCTGCTCATCTTTTTCTGTAAAAAAACAAAACAAAAACAAAAACACACACAAAAACAAGAAAAGTTAGCTCAGTGTATCGCTCGTAATAACTGATGTTTAAACAGGAAAAGTTAGCTCAGCGTATCGCTCGTAATAACTGATGTTTAAAACACAGCAGTCTGTATTTTTAAGCGTCAATGAGTTAAAAGATTAACGAAAGCAGGACATGAGACGGGTGAATGAAGCAAAGACACGTATGTACAGTAACAAAAACAAGTGTTAAATAAAAAAAACGTACTTTTATGAACGCTTTGAAACGCTTGTCTTTAGTCATGAGGTCTTTGTAAAAGTTGACGGCTTCGTTGTGGCGGCTGCAGAATCTTCCGTAAATCCTCCTCATCTTTTCCCCATTTGTCCCTGAAAACTAGAGCAGAGTTTGACAAACACAATTTAAAATGAACACCATCACAGACAAAGGTGTTTCAAAAACACCTTAAAAAACACAATACGATCATGTCCCTGTAAGACGAGAAATCCAAGCACAAAAATACAAACAAAAGACAGAAACTAAAAGATTCTCCTCTGACCCGTGTCCTACACTCACCTGGCTGATGAGTACGTCTCCGATCCTGTTGATAATAACGGCGGCCTCCGGACCAGCCCCCTCCGGCTGGCACTCTTTCTTCCTCTCCAGGAGGCGCTGGAGGTGCTGTGTGTGGATCTCAAGGAGCTCGTCCAGAGCAGGGAACAGCTTCTCCAACGTCTGAAGTTCCAGCTGCAGCTCCTTCTGAAGGCCTTTGCTGTAGACCTCCGACATGATGCGCAACGTCCGGATGTGATGCATCTCTGTTTGCATCAGCTCTGGAAGACACATCGGGAGTGAGACGTTTATTAAACTCCAACTTTACTCCAAAATGACATCAACGTATTTTTTTGTTGGAAAAAGCAACAGCTCTCAGACGGTGATAAGTGCATGATGCTAGTGGTGCAAAACATGGTGCAAAACAAAAAAAGAAATTGTTGATTTTAAGAAAATCCCTGAGGTCGGTGTGATGATCGGACGTACCGTAGATGACGTCTTGTCTCTTCACCACCTCCCTGTCCAGGATCTGCAGGTACTGCTGCTCCACACACAGACTCCACGAATCAGCTTCCAGATCCTTGACTTCGCCCTCAAACTCACCCATCAGCGGCCCGTCCATCATTTCCGTACCTTGACGGCACAACACAATTTGCACTCGCATATAATGTCACATATATTATTTTAAAGGTTAATGTCAAATCTGAAATATTGATTTTTTTTCTTTCTACCTTCATCAGTGAGAGATTCCATTGACTCTGTGACCTGGTTGGTTCTGTTGAGGGAGTCCGTGGACTGGGAGAGATAACGCAGGCCTCGGATGGGCATCTCATCAAACACCGGACTAAAAAATTTTATGATTTTATGAATATGAACAAATTACCTCAATACATAACAAAAGAATATATTTAAAAAATTAACTGGAAAGAGTTCCTTTCTTTACAGAAACACCCGTTTGAACACCCAAATGCCACTTAGCTACGTAGGTTTAAGAGCAAGTCGGAAACCCACATTTTTGGGTGCACCGCCACCTACTGTACGGGGGTGTGTAGTCTCATGGTATGACCACGTTGATCTGGAATTCATTTTTGATTTCAACCAATTTTACGCATTTAAATTGATTTTTAATCAATTCACGATGCATCGTTACATCCCTGATGGCTAGAGTTCTAAATTAATTATATCTTTAATTACCAAAACACAATTTAGTGACCAAAAAAATTATCAAGAAGACAAACTGATAAGGTTGAAAATCTGCTTCTGCTGCTTCTCACCCAGCGATGTTGCTTATGGACAGACTTTTGGACAAGTTGTTTCCATGGAAGGGCATTATACTGGTGGCTCTCCTCGAAGACGGGATCATGAGTGAAGAATGATCCTCGGGGGACAGGATGGCAGACCAGGGTCGCTCTCTGGTGCCTCCAGCTGGACAATAATATAAGGACATTTAGAGAGTCTGTAATCAGTACATATTTGTGAGTCTATAGCAGAGCCTGAC